TCATGCGGTCCGCTACGACAAAGCTCTACGTTAGACTGAATGTTATAGAATTCGGCTGAGTCAGGCATTCATACAACTATAGTGGGTGTAAGCGAAAGAACTATCCCATCACTATTCTGGCTTTAAATAGCTTGATGCCTCAACTTAAACTTTTAGTTCGTGCAATAGATACGCGTTTCTTAAATCCTAACTTCTGCCACCTATTTATCGTCTTTCCCATGTTATGCCATCCACCGCTTAGGCTGAGTCTTCATCATCAACCTCCTCGAGAACAAGTCAACGTTTCTAGTTCGAGAACGCAGTTTCCTCCGATTTATTCGTCAGAAGAATTCCTCCGAGGTTGTCAACTGGACGTATGGTGCTCAGTTATGAGATCTGCTTGGCTATTCTGCTTCAACGAACCATCATATAACTGTACCAATTTGTCCGAGGCATCATTACTCCTCCTTACCGCTAGTAAACGTCTATCTAGCGTCAGGTTGTTGGATTTATTTCCGTTGTTCACAAGAGGATCTACAAAATCTTTGTTGCTGCCGTTGATGCCAGCCGCGGCCTCTGCTCTTGTTTGTACCGTTGAATATTGGTACTTATTCTTCTCAGAATTGATCTACGGTACCTTTGAGTGAGCCAAACCTTTAGTTCTTTTATTCCATATTCACGGTCAAACTTATTTCCTTAACGTTGTACACTTTCGGTCCTTTGTTATTGAAACGTGACTTATCAAGAATCGCCTACAAGGACTAATTTACATCTAAAATAAAAAGTATATATTTTAAAAATTATCTCTCTAACTGCCACTTAGTTTAATGTATTATACTTGCATATTCTTGTGTGTGTTGTGTGAGAAAGTGAAAACGTTAAACAATGATTTTAAAGCCTTATCTTCACCAAAGATTACCTAAAGTGCTTTATGTATCTGGTGAGTTCGTAAAGTTCGGATTTTGGAGAAGTATGTCCTCCAACCAAAATAGCTCCTGTCGCTGTCCGAGTTCTCTTTTTAGTTCATCCGTTTATTGGCTCTATTTATGCTGCTTACTGATTTGCCTTCACTTTGTTTGGGTACAATGTCTCCTTTTTGGTTGTAAACCATTCTCGCTGTCTGTTTATTCACACAGGGCCGACCGAGGTCTGTTGGTTCGGCAACTCCTTCAAGGTACTGACCCCCAAAAGCGTTCTTTTATCTCGAACTGCCTTCGCTTCTTCTTCCAACTCATTTTGAAGACGGGACGATTCTGTACGCTCTTTCGCCATCTACAGTGGCTCCTATCGGTTTGCGAATATCCCCAACCCACCGAAAGTTCTGCTGAATCTCTCCAAAACTCAGGTAGCTTTCAGTAATCCACTTCTTTTGAGCTGGATTTCCAGATTAAACGTCGTTTACCTTCTTTTGGTCAAGTGCGGACTCCTTGTTTAAACTTACAGGTAGAAGGCACTATAATTCGCAGTAGAAAATAAAGCCCCGTCGATGAAGCAATTTCTCCAAAGAAATTTGTGTAGCCTATGCTCTCTTCGTAGCACCTAGCATTTTCTGCCCTTCATTAACAACACATGAGTTTTAATTTTAAGGGCCAGTGAAAAATTGCAATGATGATACTATTTGCTTCTGAAATAACCGCACATTTGAGATTCTGGTTTTTATCGTTTGAAATACATTTACAAGAACGTTATATTTTGAAAATAATCAATATCTGTCGTTTACGAAACAATTACTTTCATACCAATCGTCCTTATATACAAATTTCTCCTGGCGCAAATGAGATATTGCTTGTTTATCGTAGGTATATATCATTTTCTTACCGTTTTCTTCCTTTCTTTGTGCATTTGACTTTGAGCATTTTTCAGCAACATTGCGAGGCAAAAAGATGACCATACAGAATTTCTTTAAATGGGAGTTTACTTGAGGGAAACAAAAGTTCCACGTGGTGGCTTATCCACACTGCGTCGAGCTTCCAACTCACAAACATATTCTTCCCTTTGATAATCTGAGCTGACATTCCAGACTAATACCCATAACTTCCCTATCGCCCCTTTTAGGTCTCTTCAGCGTCGATAAGTCCTTTTTCGGACTGGTTGATTGTCTGTGCACTTTGCGGGAAGCCGTGTTCTTGGCCGACCGGAGGCTGGAGAGCCTCCTAGATTTTGTCAAGAAAACCAGAACACTGCCTTCTATGGTTTTGGAGGATGATGATTTTTTC